CTATTTTTGAAATAATGAATACGCAATGAGTACTCTGAATTCACCAAATGCGAGTAGGGCTGAGCATGCAACTCGATACCTGGAGCCCACCTGCAACCCGCACAAATTGGGCCTGTCTGAGCCTGTCCAAAAAGGAAAATAAATGGGCGGACTTAAACGGGTGGGTTTATAACTTAAATGGGCAGGCTTCGGGCATAGGCACGGGCTGCCCGTACTCACCCATTTAACTTTTTTTTTTTGAAAAAAAAATAGGAGAGAATGAGAGATATGCCTTGCGCCCTTGCCCTGTCCATTTTTGCTTAGGGAAAACCAAAGCCCAGTCCATGTTCTCTTTCCCTTTCGGTCAATGGTCAAGGAGTCAGAGCGGCAGAGCCTCACTCACTCACTCTATCACTCACGTCTCACCCTCACTCACTCAGATATCAGTCACTCTTACTCGATACTCCCTCAGATCTCAATGCCTCTGCCTCGTGCCCTCACCTCGTCTTGACACTCACTGCTCGGTCGCTCGCCCTCTACTCTCTTCGTCTCGCTCTCGCCAGTCGCCAGCGGCCAGTCACCTCTCGTCTCAGCATCTCTGTCTCCACAAACTCTCGTCGGCTGTCGCCACTGCTCGCGGTCTCGCTCTCACTCTCGTCGGCACCACTGCTCAGTGCGTCACCCTCGCCCTCCACTCTCCAATCTCCACTCTTATCTATGCTCAGTACTCATAGAGTCACAGCTCTCCACTCTTTGGTCTCTTAGAGTCTCAGTCTCTCACGCAGCCACGCAGGTCGCAGGGTCACCGCCATTTCCAGCTCAGTCTCTCACTCTCATCAAGTAAGCTTCAACTTGAATACTTGATTTTGCATATTTGTATGTTAAGAACCTCCTGCTCAGCATACTTAGGGGCTCTGCAATATTGCTTATGTATTTATATCTTGATATTGCAATTGTCCAATTGAAATGAAAACCCAGTTGGCCAGTTCCAAATATATACATATATTTTTTGACACCTAATTAATATATCTATACATGGCTTATTAGCTTTGTTCATTGTTGCCGGCCATCAAATCGTGTGGAAATTGGAATCCTCAATCTTATGTTATCAAACAACAACACATTAATTGAGTAATTGACCTTCAGATGATATCATGATCAAATATTTATTGCTTCTATTGCTCTTGCTGAATGCTGAATTATCTTTGACTTATGCTGCATTGCTGCTTGTGTTTTTTTTTAATTATGTTTAAATGAAAATTGGTTTTGTTTTGTAGAACAAGAGTTAGCAGTTCCAAATGTAGCCACCTCTTCAAGTAACTCTGAAGTAGAAGAAGAAGATCATGATGATGATGATGAGTGATGATTATATTTGTGGTTGTTTTGCTTGAAGCTTGAATCTTGAACATTTAAAATTTAGCATGATGGATTGTGATTGTAATGTATGGACTATGGAGTGTGGACTTTGATTAGTTATGCACTATGGAATATGGACTTTGATTAATTATGGTTAGATTATTAATATCCTTTAAGTTTAAACTGTCAAGGATTCCAATTACCCTCTTTTGGTTAAACGGGATGCCCATAACACGCATCAACTTGCCCATTTGACCTAGCCCGTTTAAGAACAGGCTTAAACGGGCTGAGTACTGGTACGGGTAACAAGCTAGCCCGTACCAGTGTAACTATTAACAGGCAGGCTACGGGTTATGGGCCGGGCTGCCCAACCTGCCCGTTGCTTATTGCTTTTGAGTTGGGAAATATTTTAGAAGTTTTCAAAAGCACCTAATTCACCTCTGAGCGTCAGTGGTATCCAACGTGAATAAATATGACAAAAATACAGCTGTTAAAAGAGATGTTCTACTATAATACATCAACTTTTACAAATAACATGAATCTAATAACATGAATCTATATATCATATAAAAACTTTAACAACTTACATTATTTAGAAGATAAAATCTAATCAAGAGTCCAATAACACGGGAATAAGTTAACATATATTACTTACTAAATGACACGTCATTTATATTGAATGTAATAAGAGACCAATATGTTTGTACTCCTATTAGGAAAAAAGGCTTTTAAACTGGTTAAAATAGACCTTTGACATTAGAGTCACAACTAGTGTAAAAAACAATCGGTTTTAAAAGCAACCACTTTTTACATAAGTTTCGCAACTACTGTATAAAACTTCACTTTTTAGACCAGTTATTTTTCCAACCGTATTTATTAGAAATTTTATAAAAGAAGGTTAACTTCTTAGACTAGCCATATTTACTATTGTAGGTCTAAGGTGAGGACCATTTTTTTAATTAATTATTTTTCTTATACTAGCTAGTTATTCTTATTATATTTGTCTTTTCAAGGTTTATTCTTTTACTTGGTTATTCTAATTTGCCACATCCAAAGGGGTTAAATGATTTTTGAGTGTTTGATTTTGTGGATGTAATTTAACCTGCTGTTTGATTGAAGCTGAAAGTTGGTTCTATTTGCAAAGATCATGAAGTGGAATTTTACCACTCTTGGATTGGACACTATTGTTTAATAATAACATGCATTTTGATCATCAACGTTAAAATGGAACATACAAATATTCTCAAACTATATATTGTTCGAGGTGGTAAAAGAGAATAATTTTATTTAAAATAATTACAAAACCAACTTGATTTTGATTTGGTGTGCTACACTTCGCATGATCGATGATGATCAAGTAGAGTAGGTTTTGGTCACCAAATAAAACTAAATTGAAGGTCTTGGTTGCCCTTTACTTTGAGTTCACTTTCAACCAAAACCTACCCAGCTTGATCATGATCAACCATGTGAAATGTAGCTTGTAAATCCAAAATTAAGTAATGTAGCTTGTAAATCCAAAATTAAGTCTATTATACTTAGTTTCTCTAAATAAGATTCTTCCCCTTTGCCGCTCCAACCAATAGGTTAGGGATACCTGCATATTTCATTTTAACACCACAAGAATCTAAATGCATAAGCTTCTAGGGTGGCGAAAATCAACCATAGTGATGCTCACAACTTAGACATCTGCTGCAAGTAGAATTCCTAGTTAAATTTCAATCAACATACATCTAACACTTAGAAAAATCATCCAATCCCTCTTGAGCTTGGACCCGGACAACCAAACCAAAAAAAGAAAACCTGAAAAAAACAAAATATAACAATCTAACTAGTTATTTGCAATTTACAATCAGCAATAAATACAATATATATATATAAAGAAGCTCAGTTGAATTATAAGCTATTTCCACTTCATAAAATCATGCTCTTTCTAGTTGATGGTTGGTGTGAAAAATTTACTTTTGTAGATCAGAGTTGTCCATAATCAGTATAAATTTTAATGTAGTAACACCCAAAAAACCTAGACTCATTCATCTTCTTTAAACTAGTATGCCTTGTTCCAATTTTAGGGTTTGATATCTATTAGTAGATATATAAAAGAAAGAGCACTACTGCAAAAGAGGTATTTTACAACAGTTAAATGAGCTTTTCATGGCAATTTTGAGTACGACATCTATGCAACTGATGTAAAAAAGGTAGAGGATTTCATAGTGATTTAGAAACTGCCATGATATGTGACTTTTCACGATAGTTACTGCCATAAAAGTTTATTTATTCTTTATTGAATTCTCCTCCTCTCGCTTTGCTTGAGATCTAAACCCCTTCGCTGTCAGTAGAATATCAAAGCCTTCAACCACCAAATCGAACCTACTAAGATTTAATTAAGGTAAAATTGAATGCCCAGATCTAATAAAACTTCTGAATTTTAGGCTGTCAAACTCAGATCTACAAAATAAGGTGAACAAAAATTAGATATATTCAAACTTTCATATATCAAAGTATGTTTAAGCAATGATACTAACAAAAATAGATCTATTCAAACTCAAAACAAACATCGTGTTTTTAATCAACAAAAACACTACTCATATCTTTTCAAACAACTAAACTACCAAAAACAATGAAACTCAGGAAAAGAAAGGAGGAGAAATGGCAAAAAAACTCACAGATAAGGATGATGAAGATGACGTGATGGTGATGGCGATGGAAGAACATGATAGAGACAACAGAAGCAAGGGAAAATACCGCCCATTTTTTAATATAGCAAAGGTGGGAGGAGGGAGAAAATTGAGTAGGGACGATAGTGAAGGACTATGTGCTTTAACTGTGAAAAGTAAAAAACTATCACGTCACGAAAAAGGTTTTAAAATTCTGATAAAGTTTTTAAGGAAGGTTTTTAAGATAATCCCCGTAAAAAGTAAAATTTACTTTCATATAATTACAAAAATATCACAGCCATTTTTTAACAGTGTTTTTCCTTATAATTGGTAAATTAGCGTCATTAAAGCTCTTTTTTATACTGGTGAAGGCACAAAAATGACAGCCATTAGAAATACAAAATATTGTTTAAAAAAACTCCTCTTCGTATATTCATGGTTAACTAGAGGAGTAGGAGGAGGATGAGCTTCTTTTTCTTTAGAGGAGGAGGCAGCACAAGAATCATTCATCATATTCTACTCGATGCCTCATTATCGATGATGAGGTGGACTTGTTTTCGAGAACGTCAACGTTGGTGGCGAGACGGCGGAGGCACCACTCAATGGCTGCTACTCTGGTGAGTAGTTGGTCTAACGGTGGAAGAGGAGGTGAGGGAAGCAAGGGAGAAGGAGGAGGAGGGAGTAGGGGGTGGATAGGTAAGATCTTTTTTCGGCTTTTCACCATTGCGTGGCAACTAGGGATGAAAGAAAACGATGGAGAAGAATAGCCAAGTTTAAATATGCGATGACAAGACATGCTGGTGATCTTTGAACTTCATCCGCGTCATTTTAAGAATAACGAAGACGAAAGAGATAGGCAGGGTAACCTCAATCTGCTTAGGAATCAAACTCATTTCTTTTAATGAGCTTGTCCATGAACCCATGAAAGAGGGGTTAATTTAAGTGAACAAATTAAGATGATGAGAAATAAGAAAAACCAGATGAATTTCCGATTGATATAACATGATGTCATGATGTAATGAGTAATACCATTTATTTATCTCATTTCATTTCATTTTGTTTCTTATACATAATACATAATAGTTACAGACATGAGGTGTGATAACTGTGTGTCGGGAGAAATTTGTGACCGAGTGAGCGAGTCTGCGACTCAGTAGGGCCAAAAACAGAAGGCCTGATCTTCAACAGGGAATCCAAAATTGTTACAACCTTCGGGAGGATCGTCGTAGCATCCATCTTCTTCTACCTTCGGGAAGCAAGCCAGATTCAGCAGGTTGCTCCTCATCAGTTTATCGTCTTCTTCGTCCTGCGAGAAATCCGAGTGTTCCGCAGCTTCAGCTTCCGCCGCCGGCGACGAATCCGCCGGCTCCTGCTGCATCCACGAATGGTGGTTCGCCTCCGTGTCCTCCGAATCCAACACGTCGCTTTTCGCCGATGAATTCGCGTCTTCCTGCTGCTTCCACACCGTTATTCCCTTGGCAGCTACTCCTTCGTCTTTGGTTCCATCTTCCCGTGGCTCTTCTTCTGCTGAATTCACTGCTTCTGAATCTCCAGGATCCGCATTGGCCTCTGACTTGTGAGAATCTTCTTTCTCTTTCTCCCTCGCATTTAATCTGTCTTTTAGGGATTTCACCTGCGCACCGAAGATAAAGGTTATCACTTATTCGACCTTGTTTCCTCTGATTCGTGTAGCTCTAGATTGATTTGTGCTGTGCGTGTACTTCTCAATCGATTTATCGTATCAGGTCAAAAACCAATTAGTTACATGAAGATTACAGAATTTGCAGAAACAACATAGTTTACACCTAGATTGAAGAAGCAGGCCTTAATAAACAAAAAGCAATCACCAGTAAATTCCTATTTTAGTCCGATTAAAATTCAAGCCCATGATAACAACATTGTAAATCTCACAATCTTTGCCGCCAGCTCAATCCATATTAGTGGGTTACACTTTCTTTCCTTTTTTAAAGTATTTCAGTTAAAGATATCTTTAAAAACCAGAAAGCAGAAAAGCTGAGCAGGGAGATGAAAACTGAAAGAGGGAGAAAAGTAGCATGTGGGTGTGTTTATATGTCTGATATGGTTAGTTTACCTCTTCTTTTAACTTGTCGTTCTCCTTGACAAGATTGTCATGATCACTCTTGAGCTTATCATAGCTAGCTTTCAACTTGCCATAGTCTTGCTCAAGCTGTTTGGTCTTGAACCTTGCCCTTCTGTTCTGGAACCATATAGCAACTTGCCTTGGCTGCAATCCTAGTTCCTTCGCTAGCTGAACCTTCCTCTCTGGTTCTAGCTTGTTCTCCACCTCGAAGTTCTTCTCCAGAAACTGAACTTGCTCGGTCGTGAGCCTTCTCTTCTTCCCAGCCTGATGAAAGCACACTTCGTAATCTTCCTCCCCTGTCTCTTCTTTCTCCACTCCGTGTAGAAATGGCCGGTCTGTCACTCTGCACCCACTCAGCCTCTCAAAATTCACCATGGATTTTGATCCTGGAAACCAAATTTCAGAAACTGGTCATCAAAACAGAGTCATAGAAACTTAGTTAAATCAGAAGCTTTGGGGTCTGTTTCTTTTTCTTTCTGCCTATTTCATGAGTTCAGACTGTGGGAGGGAAGTACAGGTTTATAAACTTGAAAAGAAGCAACTCCAGTTACAGTAGGATGGAAGTATAGAACAGAGCAATTATAAGAATGGAGAAAAAAGCGTTCGTGTCAAATGAAATCACCTGGGAAAGTGGGGTTTGAGGTGTGAGTCCAGATAGAGTCGAGAACGTCAGAAGAGGGAGGAAGTCTTTCGTTTTGGAGCAAGAGTGTTGTCATGTTGGATGCCCCGAAGAGTTTTCCACCCGCCGCCATAGATAGACCTTGAAGAAAACTAAAGGTGGTTTAGAGATTTTAAGTTAAAGGATCATATTGAGGACGATGATGATGAAATTGATAAGGAAAGACAAAAAGGAGACTAATTATGTGCTTTTGGATCTAAATTTAAGGCGAAAGAAGCATGTGGTGAGGATGAATGTGATGAAGGAATCCAGAGAGATAGCTGAGAGGGAAGAGTAGAAGACTAGAAGCTTAATTACGGGCAGAGGCAAAGGAGATTTTCTTCTTCTGGTTATGGTGTTTGAGAAAAGAGAGAAAGGTGTGTGTTCTGAACAGAGAAATGGTTGATTCTTCTCCGTGCTGGGAGGACTGGGCGGGCTTATATGGAGCCTTGGTCGGGTGAGGTAGGGAACAGGGGAAACAACACATCACAAGGTCTCAAATTACCATACTGCCTCTCCTTTTTTTTTTTTTCCTTTTCTTTTTCTATGATATTTTCACATGATTAATTATATATATTTGTAATTTTAATTGTTTTAATATTTATATTTTTAGAAAATAATTTAATTCTTGTTTTTTTTTTACCAGAAATTCTTCTCGTCAAGTCTTCAATATATACTGTTGATTTACTATTTTGATATTTTATTTTAAGCATGTATAATTTATGCCGACTTAGTTACCCATAATAGTTTTGAACATGTATGAGTGCTAAACAGGTCTCTTTTGTACATTGCGCTTGGTATGAACTATGAATAGTATCCCTGTGCTATCATATTGATTTGATTTGATTATGACAGAATTATAATAAGGTTCTAACGAAACAAAACATTCTTCCGGTTTTAAATATAAAACCCATTTTATAGTATAATTTACATTATAAAATATGTCTTATATTTAGTAGGGGTGTTCAATTTGTCCCGTCCCGGTTCCGGTGAGTTCGGGACGGGACGGGACGGGACAAAAAAAATTTCGGGACGGGACAAGTACGGGACGGGATGGGACAGTGACCAGGACGGGACGGGACGCGGGACGGGGTTGTCCCGTCCCGTCCCGTCCCGGGATATTTTTTTTTTAAAATTATTTATTAATAATAATTATTAGATTATTCAATTTACTTATTAATAATAATAATTATTTTTATAGTGATTTTTAACTCTTAAGTTGTAATATTATCTGAACAATATCTCCTTCCTCAATAAAATAATTCATAAAGCCATTATATAGTGTTTCTTTTATCGTATTTTTTTTTACACCTTTTTTATACTATATAATTGAGCTTTCTACATAATATTTTTTATAATGTTTTTATCTTTAAAAGTTTAACAAAAAATAAACATTATAACATAAAAAAATTTCATATAAAAAATTATAGTATTTTTTTTAAAAAAAAAAGTGGAGGGGAACGGGACGTCCCGTCCCGTCCCAGTTCCGTCCCGGTCCCGACGGATCGGGACAAAACCGGGACGGGACGGGACACGGGACTAAAACCCTGTCTCGTCCCTGTTCACCGGAACGGGCCTGTCCCGGTCCCGTCCCGTGAACACCCCTAATATTTAGAATTGGAGTAGTAATTACCAAGAAATCCGAATGATAAGTAAGCAGTTATCATTTTCTACTTGGAACTTATCATTGTAGGTTTATCTGTTGCCACTAAGACTTTTTAGTAATTAAATTTTTTTTCCTGAAATTTCATACCAATTCTTTTGATTTCATTATAACTCACTCCCATCATATTAACAAATTCAAGGCTAGACTGTATAAAACTTTCCTGAGCTAGGGTTGTAAGGAGAATTCTTTGAGGGATATGTATGCCAAGTAATTTGAGAAGGAAATCATATTATGAGAAGGAAATCATAATAGCAATAATAAGGGTGAGCAGATATGAAACTACTTCTTTCCTTTATTTCAAGTTTTCCTTTTAAAAAAACTGATGATCATTTCCGTTACACTATTGTGTTAGAATGTAGTATGACATGTATTTTTAATTGAATCTTAGTATAAATCATGTTATTACCCAGTAAATGATATGGCCACATATGCTTTTAATATTTTGTTTATTGTAGATTACTTATATTATGATATTATCATATGTGTAATAACTACATCCGGTTCTTAATATCAGACTTAGTTGACTAATTTAGAGAGATTAAGAAAATTAGTTAAGTTAGTTATTTGAAGTAAATATATGTTGCCTTTTGACTAATTTTGAGAGATTAAGAAAGTTAGTTAAATTAATTATTTATAATAAATAGATATTGTTTTTCTTAAAATATCTTTATTGATCATATGTGTTTGAATCACCCATTTATAGTAACTCCTTAACATATTCAACTACTATAGGAATTACTTGGGAGCAAAACAGATAAATATTAGAGACAATATAGATTAGAGTTTTATATATAGGACTAAATTGAATGTGAGACTAACTCTTATTGGAGGTAGTCCTCCTTCAGTCTTTAATGTAAAACCTATTTACCTAATTTTATTATATTAATGAAGTTAGATAAGTTAGTTACTTATAAGAAATATGACATGTTTTTCTTAAAACACTATAATCATCTTTCTTAATATCTTTCCTTCTAGAGGTGGAAATCAGGGCCGGCCCAGCCCTCCAGAGCCGACCCTTCAGGGCTGGGGGGCTTAAAAGGGCTGGTCCTCCAGGGCCGAAATTTCAAAAATATCCCAATTTGCTAGGCCTGGCCCTTAAGCTAACAGGCTTAGGGCCGGTCTAGGGACTTTTGGCCCGTTTAAGAAAAATGCTATTTTTTATATTTCTCATATTTTTAATCAAAAAAATGAAAATAAACCAATGAAATTGTTAATAGAAACATAAATATGAATAAAATTAAGTCACAAATACAAAATATCATCCTATATAAATATCTATCAACATCCAGGAACATTTAAAACATTTATTAACAAGATAACAACATCCAAAAATTTTATCTATAGTGCAATTGTGGAATAAATAAACACTATCATTAATCTTTTAAAACTTCATCATCACTATAATCAATTACTCTTCTTCATAAGTATGTTTTTATTTCGTAACAAAAATATCAAGTTTTTCTTCTTTATAGGAATTTTACTTTTAAATTTTGCAATCTAGCTATTATTTTATTTTAATGTGAGAAACATTGTTGTTGAAATTCATGAATTTCTAATTCAAATTATAGAATTACAAGTTATATAAGTATAAAAATACTCTATTATCATATATATATAGTTTAAAAATATCAACGCATATAATATAAATCAAATCATTATTAAAGTCCAAATTAACTCATTTTTTAAAAATTTAATTGGATAAATTATTCTCTAAAACTAAATAAATCAACTCATTCTGTAAAATTTAATTTTAAAATGATAATAAAAAAATTAATAATATTAGAATTACATAAAAAAATTAAAAAAATTATAAAATGGTTTAAACGGGCCGGCCCTTTTAATCCCTTAGCCCTCTAGGGCTTATTTCCCATTTGAGGGGAAAAATTTCAAACCCAACACTCATAATTTCATGGCCTAAACAGGCTTGACCCGTTTTTCCGGCTCTACTCCCTTCCTCACTTACTTGATTATGGTTGAGGGAGTATTCATAAGGGTAATTTAGGAAAAACTAATAAATATGAAAAATAAGTCTTATATTTAGGATTAAAATTAACTTAACAATTAATTCTTATATTAATTACTGGAAGAGTATATAATTAATTAGAAAAGTTCAACTATTAGATGGGCTCTTCTAATAAATATATTCAAAAATTTAGCAAGCGTGAAAAAATGCAAATTTTTTTAATGTTTTGAATAACAATATTTTTTTAATACATAATAATAATGATGATGATTTTCTTGCACAGTATTTTTATGAAATAATTTAGAAAATAACATATACCTATACGAGACAACATCTTTGTCAAATTACAACAGTTTCCAACTGGCTATTCTCTTTTTTTCTTTTTTTTGGGGGCCAAAACAGCTAGCTATTCTAAGACAGCCAAATCCTGTGGAAAACAAGTTACATGGTCCTCCGAAAATACCGGAACAAGTTTCCATTTTTTTTTTCCATCAATACCTTATCAAGATCATATTTAGAAAATATATGGCTGCAAGTGTGTTGTATATTGAAATTTAAAACGAAATAAAATCGTGTTTCATTATTTGTAATAAATATATGTTGTCTTTTCTAAAATATTCTTGCTAATTAAGTATCTTGGTTAGAACTACAATTATTATAAAGATTGTCTTGAGAAAAAAATAAATAAATATAAAAAACAAAATAGATTAGGATCTTATATTTAGGATAAAAATAAAAGTAAAATGAGTTATTATATTAAAGACCAGATGTAGTATTATATTACCTCCAGTCTTTAATATAAGAGTTAGTTAACTAATTTGAGTAAATTAAGAAAATTAGTTAAGTTAGTTATTTGTAATAAATATGTATTATCTTTTTTAAAATATCTATACTAATCAATTGTACTGGTTAAGACTATCATCACTAGAATGATTATCTTAAAAAATATATATAAATATGAAAGACAAAGTGAACTAAAGTTTATATTTAAAGATCAAAATAAAAGTTAAACAAAATTTTATATTAAAAAATAATTAAATATATTTTTTCTATTCACTTGTTATTATTATTTCTTAAAATATAAAGCAGAAAACAAAGTGGGAGAAAAACAAAAGCATCCTGTCTAATCTGTCGCTATCAGAGGGGCGCTCGGAATTTAGGGAGATATGGAGGACTCATTATCCTCTTTATTATTTATTTATTTATTAAAAATATATTTGTTTTGTTTATTTCAGGGTTAAAAGACTTGGACAATAATTTTTTTCTCCCGTGAACAGTTGAACCATCAGCAAGTAGCACTTAATTATTAATTGCATTAATATTGTCTGTCAAGTGCTAAATTCATTGATGTGTTATTCTTTAAGCTTTAACTAACGAAGATTACTCCTCCTTTTTTTTTCATAAGAAAAAATTAATCAAATTATGTTGTTTAAGGTGTTGGTTAACAATAAATATGTAAAAGGATAATTTTTTTTGGTCAAAAATATTTTTATTTATGTGAAAAAAAGAATGTGTAGGGGAGAGAGAATATGTGAAAATTAAATATAATAATATAAGTAATATGGGTAATTAAATGGGGTAAAATGAGAAACC